ATTATTTACTGCATCTACATGAAGCATGACAAACCAGAAAATGATCTATGCAGTTTTAAATTACATCATTTATTATTCTTGACAATAGTAACTTCAATATATATCCCTCTTGAAAAATTAATACAAATTTGCAGATGGTAAACTATATAATGCAAAACAAGAAATTTCCATAAAGTTAGGAAATATGGGATATTTACAGCTGAATTCCGCAGTAAGCAAAACCTTAAAATTTTCAAATGTTTCAATTTGAAGTATCATTCAAGTCTTATCCTAAAATACAAAATTATATATTTCAACTCAATACAGTGAAATGAGCTATCGTAATAATATGAGCAACATTATAGTTTTTGAATATTTCAAGCATTGTGAACAATAAAACATTCCACAAATCATCTATGTGCAATGTGCAGACTAGCAGCCAAAAATTTTAATTTAGTCCTTGACCACTTTTTCATGTTTGATAAAAACTGCAAACCATCATGATAATTTTTAGAAAAAGAGTTCAGTTTTCATTCGAATCAATTTCTATTAATATCACTTCATTAACCAACTTCTTAAAATTAAAAAGATGAAATACATAACAGAAAAATTTAACGAGGCAAATTTTTCAAGAGCTTTTAATTTACTCTAATAAAAGGTTGAATTGTTTTTACCGAAAATATACCAGTACTTTTATTATACTTTATATGAAACTGGTAGTTAGAACAGGGCTTAATTTCTAAAATTAGAAATGTAGGAGCCCTATGGAAGACCATCAGGAAAGAGGAGCAAGAATAAATAAATAAATAAAATGACTAATCAAATCATTAATAATTAATTATTAAAACAATTAAATAATCAATTATTAAAACAATCAAAAATTGATTAATTAAAATCATTAAAAAATCAATGATTAAAGTAATTAAATAATTAAAATTTAACAAAATGTAAAGAGATAAATTAAAAATAAATAAATAAGGTAAGTTAAATTGAGATCAAATTTCTGTCGAAAAATTGTTCAGTTAGAATGCCAGAGCCTTCTTATTTTGGACTCCAGTGCACTCCGATTAAAATTAGGATTTATTACAAAAACTAAGAAGTACCGGAGCCAGGCCCTGGCACAATTTAAGCTCCGAGTTAGAAACTATATTTGAAATGTAGGATTAGATTACAATCAAAAATTTATATTAACTTGCAAGTACACATAGTTTATTTTAGCTTGTATATAAATTAGAACTTGTTTTATGGTTTTATTATTATCTACAACATTTGAAGCTCATATAGTTTTATCACACAGTTTTTGAAAATATAAAAAAAATGTAAAATCCTAAATACAAAAGAAGGGATTCCTTAAAATTTTCAGAAAAATCTTATAAGTAACAGGTACTTAACATATAAGTAATAAATACAGGAATCCAAAGAAAAAAAAAAAAAAAAAAAAGAAAAGAAAGAAAGAAGGTTAATGAAGCATCTCTAATTATATGTAAAACTCTTGATTTTGATAATGGCACACAGACTATTTTGCACAAAATAACTGCGCATAATGCCACAAAAGCAGACACAGTACTCGACATTGACTCACAAATGAGGCCACTCTTTTTGCTTTTATATGTTACCTTGAAAAGTTGTACTCCGATCACAGCAAACATGAACTGAAGCAAGTAGGTGACCAACATGATGTTTCCTATAGTTTTGACTGCTACTATGACGCACTTGACTACGTACTAGAGGGCAAAACAAAGGTGGTAAATTTAATAATCGGTAGGGCTGCCAGGTTTAAAGAAAAAAAAAAAAAAAAAAAAAAGGTTCTTCTAAAAATTATTTTGTCTTTGTGATTATGACTTCTTAATTATCCAAAAACTTCTGTAATGTCTCCATATATTTTTTATAAACTAATTCCAGACCTACGAACTAATAGCAACATTCACAAGCTTTCATAGATTATCTTCAATATGACAGTTTTGAACAGTAATGAATAATGGAAAATTATTTTTTCTTTCATAATCAGGGCTTAGCAATGCATTATACATTTAAAAAAATCATTACGGGGTAAACCTGTACTGAATATCAACTTTCAAAAGAATTATTCAATATAAGAATATATATTTAACCAAACTGAAGAGTTAAAATGTTGCAGAATGTTTGGCCTAGATACGTTTCATCCACTTTGCTTTGTAGTCATCATGTACTTCAAGAATTTCAGTATTCCCCCCCCCCCACTTTTAAATAACATGATTATTTTAACAACCACAAAGCTAGGTAACTAAAATATTACACTAAGTAAATTTTCCAATTGAAAGAGAATTTTCTAAGTTTTTAATACAATTTCTTTTTCAGTTTATCATAAAATTTTTAATGTGCGTTTAAAAATTATAGAGTAAGTAATTTGATCAAAGAAATGAATCTTTATGATTATCTTTATGCCTATGCTTTAAAGTATTCAAATAATATAAAGAAAGATTTTAAAATTGTTTTTGCAAAATAATGCATTTTTTTATCTTATATGATACTTTAAGTAAACACCAAGTTCTCAAAAAATTTAGTTAAGTTAATATACCTGATGTTATGCTTTACAAGTTGTGCTGAATCTTGTTATGAAGCTAGATCAGTCAAGGATGGTGCCAGAATACTTAACCTCCCAAAGGCAAAGAACATTTTAAGTGTCTCTAAATATTGCCTTTATACACTGTAATAAATACAATGAAATCTCTGTAAGATGACCATTCAGTCGATTTCATCTCTTGTGAAGGTAGTCAATACTTTTATTTAATCACATTTTCATGACTACTATTCACTTTCACAAGTGATCGTCTTATTGAGATAATCACTGTGAAAGGTTACATTACATATGTATTTACAATATTCAAATAATATTTATTTTATATTAAATTAAATAATATTTAAGCACGCTTTTAAAATGTAAAAGATTAAATAAATTGTCTTTATTTTTTGCTCATGAAAAGAAATGTTCTCCCAAATCTTGCCACTCCTAAGTGATTGTGTAAGTTTGCCTCATGATATAACCAGCTCTGAATGAAACACAGTCATTAAGTTAGGCTTGAGGAAATTCATAGTAAAATAATAAATGAGCATAACATTTTTAGCATTTTCTAAAGTTCATAAATAATAGTAATACTAGCAAGAGCAAATATTTATTTATTTTTTAAGAATGAGATTTAAAATTGCATAAGTAAAATTTATTATAAAACTGGAAAGGGGACTTGTAAAACAGAATCATGAAAAATTTTCATTTTGAGAAAATATGAGAAAACTGAAAAGATTCAAACTTTACAAATAGACACATTAGGAAAACACACATATATATACATATTATAAATCTAAAATTTGTCTACGTGAATGAATAGATAGCTTTGCTTAAAAATTTTAATTCATCTGTGGTCTTCCTCACCTGGTTTAAAAACCTACTTATTTTGAGTATGTTTTTACTTTGTCCTTGAATTATAAACTAAGTTATTAAAAAAAAAAGAATAATTTCTATGACTTGAAATGAAGGGCATTATCAAAATTGTCATATTTAGCTATTACAAGGGATCAGCATAATACTAGTCACTAATTTGGTAAAGTGATGAACACAATACTTATGTTACTCAAGATCGGAGAACGGCTAAAAATTTAAGAATTTTTTCAAACCTTCTGATTTCATTTAATTTCCATGGTTGACTGAACAAAACAGTTTAATCAGATTAATTTAACTGTTGTTGCTAAATTAAAATAAATAGTTGTTATCTAAGGCAAGAGGAAAAACATATATCTAGAGAAATCCAGTAAATTAGATGCCTAAGCAGTTGAATGTAGAGAAAATAAGATCATATTAAATATATATATATACAGTACAAAGTCAGTAATCCGGACTCGGCGGGACTTCAGAGATTTCTGATTAGGGGTTTTTTCAGATTATAGATCCTCAATTTAAATCTGGTAAGATGGCATGCAGAAATTATACAATTAAAAATATGAAACCATAATTTATGAAATAAAGAACAATTATGATCTAAAGGGTATCAAAATTTACAAAAAAAAAAAAAAAAAAAAAAAAAAAAAAAGCTTAATACTTATTTGTTTACTTTATTAAACATTTCTTTCAATGTAAGTTGTTTAAGATGCTTCCACAAAAAATTCAAAAAGTTCCTTTTTCTTTTTTCTTATGTCATTTACAGTGGACTTTCCAAAGCCATACTCCTCGCATAATTTTGAGACGGATTTGAGACTTTATCCATTTTTTACAGCAATTCCACTTTTTGTTTAATGGACATCGAAACATGCTTTCGCTTTGTAGATCCTTTGGCAGCTCCAGAATTGGAAACTCTTTTGGACATAATCGAAAGTTCAAGCTTAATTTTTATAAAATTGTTCTAACAGTCAGCAAAAAATTATTATTTTTTGCTGACTGTTAGAACAGTCCTGATCCGATTAAAAGATTAAGGAACAGCGCAATCTGCAACATTAACTGAACTGCCTTAGATAATTTTAGCCTAGCTTACACCGTCCGTTATACATTAAATGTGCATGCGTAAATGCATTATGCGTATGTGTAAACGCATTATGGGTTTACACATGCGCATAAAGTTTGTAGTTTTGAGGTCCGGATTATAGATAATTATCGGATTATGGATGTCCGAATTACAGACTTTGTACTGTATATGAAGCATGGAAAACAAAACCTTTCCAGATAATCAAGATATAATATATAAAGCCTCATTATCTTAAAGAACTACATGGACTTCACCATAGTCCAATCAGCTTCTCATAACTCAATAGAATTTAAGAAAACTTTTACACGATTTACAGTTTCTTTATGTTAATAACAGTTGATTGAAATTTTAATTCTCCTCTGGAAAAATAAACATTTTATGAATGACCTTACAGTAAAGAAATAAAAAAAAGGGGGCAGGACTTTTCGATATCTATATACCTGGCAACTCTAACGATCAATGTGATTAGTAAAGGGAAGGGAGAGTGTGAGAACATCGCAAAAGCTGTTACACTCTGGACAGTCCTACCTTTAATAGCTGTACTCCAATCACAGCAAACATGAAGTTTAGCAGAAAGGTCACCAACAAGATGTTCCCTATAGTTTTTACTGCTACAAAGATGCACTGGATTACTTGCTACATGCAAATAAAATACAGCATGTCATTGCTGATCCCTCCGAATATTACCAATAATAGTGGGAAGAATAAAAGTAGTTTAATTATTTGTTCTATCAGCTATTTCTAAAGCTAATAATCAAACATAGAATGAAAATAAGAAATTTTAGAAACAATATGGATTAACTGGAAAAGCAGAGTTTTGACCTAAATACATAATAAAATATTTTGCAAAAAAGAAATAGCAGTACAGGATAAAAAATTACAGATGATATCAAATTTAAAGTTTCTAATTTCCTACATGACCAGTTGAAAATTAGAATGCTTTTGAAGTTTGTTCAATACATTTCCCATCGGTTTTATTTATATACTATCTACATTCTATAAATATGAAATTACTTGCTTCAAGCTTAATTTTTGGTGCACCGTCGTAATTTCTTGACAAGAAAGATATATTAATGTCTTATATACTCAGGGTATTATTATATGTACTTAGCCTTATGCATTAATTTTAATATTAACAATTTATATGCATGATAAATCTTACATGTTAAAAAAGAGCTTTCCCCATAAGTCAATTGTATTTTAAATCTGAAAACTGAAGGCTTCATTTTCTTTTTGTAAATTTAGTTTTTAAAAAAAAAAAAAAATCCCATTTCTTAAAAAATAAAGGTATTTTTTAGCTTCACTGGCAAATTCACCAACAGAAGAATGCCTTTAAAATAAAAGTCATATTACATATTAAACGTTTATCAACTTAAAAGCAACTTAAGTTTTTTTACATATTGTCATATAACAACATTTTTAGTATCTGTTATAAATAAGATGGACAGAAAGGACTTGCACAGGTTAAATAAATTTCTTATTTATTTAAAAGTTCTTTTTTATTATAATAAAGCCACTCATATTTAATAGATATGCAAAATCAGCAACGCTAAGTTTTCATACAAATGGATTATAACTGCACATTTTTATGTTAATTATTTGAAGCAGATACTTCAATTATGCACTTTCCAAATTAAATGCATGCATTTTTGCTTATTTTTTAAGCACATAAAAATTAATCAAAACATGCCTATAAGAAAATTAAAAGAAAAACCCACCACTCGTGTAAGTTAAAAGCCTTTTAACGTAGTGTCAGAAATTTTGTACATATGTAAATAATTTTAGCGAAATTATACGTGAAAGTGTAGCAATTTTTTTTTTTAATAACGTCACATGAAAATCTAAAAAAGCAAAGCTTTGTCAGAAAAGTAAGAATACAGAGGCAAGTCTGTTTAATATTGGGTAATTGGCTATTTCACTTGAGTCATGAGATATTGTCAAACTGTTGACGGTTTTGATGACTAATTTTTGTTGCCAAACTTGGTGACATTTTTTTCTGGTCCCTGTATAACTAACTGTAATGGGTTATTGTAATTGAATAACTGTGATTGATGCTATATGTAGCTGTAACTGTATCTGGCTCTCATATGCCTTCTAGTAATTTCAAAAAGTGGAAAATACTAGAAATTTCTCAGCAGATAGAAGAAAACTATATAAGACGAGGGAGAGTATCATTTTCAGAGTAGTAGTTGTTCAGCTCAGCATGAGTTCAGAGTATTGACATATCTCCATGTTAGCATCGCTCTTTAGATGTGCTTTGCATTGCATTATGTTTAACAGTCTTAAGAGTTTGAAGTGTAATTACTAATTGTACTCTGCAATACTGTGAAGAGCTGTATGAGTATTTTGATGGAAACTTACAGAACTGTGAAGTGTTTCTTTTGGTAAAATAAATAAATTTTATCAAGCTATCATTGGTTCTGTGTGCATTCAATCCATTATGAACCTGTATGCATGTAACAGTTTTTGGTGTCAGGAGTGAGGTTGAATGCTGATGTCAGGAGTGAGGTTGAATGCTGTTGGATGAGTAATGAAGACAGCTAATGGCAGGCTTTGCTGCATTCAAAGAAGAGATGAAAGCTGTTAAAGGAGGTGTGAAAGCAGGCCAAGAGGAAATGCAAGTGGGCCAAGAATCCATTACAAAAGAGCTAAAAGCTATTAAAGAAGAAATGAAAGCATGTTAAGAGGAAATGAAAAGAGAAATTGCATCCATAAAAGAAAAGATATTCGAGGCTATGGAAGGCAGAATAGACAGAGTTGAAGATAAAGTTAGAGGAATTCAAGAAAGAGTTTCTGCTGAACAGCAAATAAAAGAAAGAGTTTCTGCTATCCAACATCACATTGAAGAAAGACGCGGTTTGGATTATGTATTGCGCCAGCAGCATTCGAACATCTCATGGAGAACTTCTAAGACACCTTTTCTATCAAGCCTATTTGATATGCCTGGATGACATCATTATCAGAGAAAAGTTCTAGACAACATTTATAAATCTTAGAAAAGTGCTTTGGAAATTGAAGGACGACAACCTAAAGTTAAGTCCTGCCAAATGCAAATTGTTCAGGCAGGAAGTGACTTCCCTCAGACATGTATAATCGGATGAAAGCTTGTGTACAGATCCAGAAAAAGTGTCAGCAGTTAAAGATTGGAAACATCTCGAAAATGTCCATCAGCTGAAAAGTTTCTTGGGGCTCACATACTATTGGAAATTTTTGAAAGACTTTTCTTTCATTGCAAGATCCCTTCACAAACTGTCAGACAGCAAGCAAAAGTTCTTGTGGACAAAACAATATGAGAATGCATTAAAAAACCTGAAGGAGGCTTTAACATCTGAAACAATCTTGACGTGTCCTCAGCTCAATAAACCATTTATTTGTGACACATATGAGAGTAATGTGAGAATTGGTGCTGTTTTGTTTCAAGCAATAAACAGTAAAAAATGTACCATAGCATACTGGTGCAAGTGTTAATCTAAACCGGAGAGAAATTACTGTGTCATCTGGAAAGAGTTGCTCACCATAGTTAAAGCCACAGAATATTTCCACCATTACCCCTACGGCAGAAGATTCCTGCTTCCCACTAATTATGCTTCGTTGACCAGCTCTTAAATTGAGCCCCAAAGACCAAATAGTGAGGTGAATACAGAGTCTACAGGAATACGACATAATTATCCACCATAGGAAAGGATCCTCCCACGGAAATGTCATTCCCTGTCTAGAAAATCTCGCCCAGAAAGCTGCTGCTATTGCTCCAGGGTCGAAGCAAAATACGAGTTGCTTAATCCAGTCGTACATCAAGTTACGAATTGAACATCATCCAACCCATACTCATGGAGTGATGAAGAAGTAAGGAAAGACCAGTTGAAAGACAGCGATATTAAACCCATAACTGACTGAATGGAATCTTCAAAGAGGAAACCTACCTGGAAGAACATTTCGATCTTTAGTCCTAAGATGAAACAATATTGGACTTTTTTGGACTCATTCCATAGTTGAAACAATGTCCTGTACCAGAAGATAAAATTGTATAATGGAAAAGCACTTCAATGGCAGCTGATACTTCCGAGATCCTGGACAAACTTGAAGAATTACATACCAGTTCAACAGAGGGCCACTTTGGAATACTGAAGACTTTCCACAGAGTTTGAGAGTGCTTCTATGGAAGCAATGCAAGCGCTGATGTGTAAAAAAATCTTTGAATAATGCAAGGATTGAGGTGTCAATTTTGTGATGCCTGTGCGGATCAGAAAGGACAGACAAAACACAGATGAGGGAAGTTGCAATTTTACATTGTAGGAGTATCTTTTGAATGCATTGCCTTTGGCATCCTGGGACCTATGCCATGAATTCTTGATGGCAATAAATACATTCTCATTATCATTGATTACTTCATCCAGTGGCTTGAAGCATATCCTATTCTTTATCAAGAGGCTGTCATGGTAACAGAGGTAATGATACAGCATTGGATTTCCAGGTTCTGAATGTCTCTTCAGTTACCTTCCGATCAAGGGAGGATTTTACAGCAGCAATTAAAGAACTTTTCAAACTGCTCGGCATAGACAAAACCCAAATGACACATTTTCATTTGCAATCAGACAACATGGTACAGAGATTTAATCAAACCATCCTTAACAACCTCTCACTATTTTCCATTGCAGATGCTCTTTGGTCATAATCTTCGTCTGCCTTGTGATCTGTTATTTTGGTCACCCTCTGGATGTGCTTCATTGTCCGAGGAGTACATTCAAGATCTCCAGCTGCAGTTTGAAGTGATGCATATTTTTTCTCAAGAGCGAGTTAACTTGGTGATGGAGAAGACGAAGACCTGATATGACATAAGAGCTACCAGACATCGATTCAACAGAGGTGACAAGGTATGGTTATAGAATCCAATTTAAGGGAAAGAACTTGCTCCTAAACTACAGTCACCTTGGGATGGTCCTTACACAGTCCTAAACAGGCTAAACAATGTTTTAGTTTGGATCCATAAGTGTAAAGCCAAATTCTAAACCTTAGTCCTTTATTAAGACAGACTTACTATGGCCATAGGATGTACTTCCCATAGTGTATATAATGTAAACAGTACACTAAGACAACGTTCCTATTTTTTGTAAAAATTTGTAAATTTATGCATTAATTTATTGGTTTGACATTTGATTTGTTTCATGTCATGTCATTTCTTGAAATTATTGTTTTAATACTGCATTGATTTTCCTTAGTTGTAAGTGTGATTTCCTGTCCAGGGATTGTACTACCCTGGATATGCAGCTAGGAAAAGGAATCTTTGATGTTACAATTTTTGTACTTACGTAAATAATTTTAATTTATTTGTGCAATTGAATTTTTTTTTCTTTTTGTATAGTGTAACATGAAAACTTAAAGTAGCGAAGCTTTGTCAGAAAATTAAGAATACATGGACAAGTGTCATCTATTTAACATTGAGTAAATGGCTATTTTGCTGAATTGGCAAGATATTGCCAAGCTGGTGACAGTTTAAATGGCTGACTCTTGTCGCCAAATTTGGAGAATATGGCCAAAAGTAGCCAAACTTGGTCATATTTTGGTGCAGTCCCTGTATAACTGTAATGGGTATTGTAAATGAATAAGGGTAACCGATGCTATATATAGCTGTAACCATATCCAGCCCTAATATCCCTTCCAGTAATTTCGAAAAGTAGGTACTAGAAATCTCTCAGCAGCCCAGAGTAAACTATATACGACTGGAGAGAGGAGTAGTTTCAGAGCAGTAGTTGTTCAGTTGAGTGAGAGTTCGGAGTATTAAGATTTTGCCATATTAGCTTCACTCTTTGTGCTTTGAACTGCATTGTGTTTAAGGTTCTTAGTAGTTTGAAGTGTAACTACTGATTGTACTCTATGTTATTGTGAAGAGCGGTGTAAGTATTTTTGTGGAAAGTTCTAGAACTCTTAATTGTTCCTTTTGATAAAATAAATTTTATCATTTTATTTGTGTGCATTCAATCCATTACGAAATGATCTCTCAGCACATTGTAATATACTCTTGCAAATAACTCATCATTTTAATCATAAATATTAAATTTTACCCAAACATAATAATCTTCCCTATAATACAGCAGGTACCACTAGCTTAGGCAGAACTAATCATGCATGCCATAGTCTCTACTTCATACTTTTGGTGCCATACATGTACATGATCGTTGGTTTATACAACAATACTTTGTCGAAACATACCAACATGTATTTAAAAATTTTGGAGTGCTTTTATACTTATTTAAGGAAGTGTAAAAGAATGATAAGATCTCTACAGCAGTCTATTCATGCAAGCATAAATTACATTCAAAATACAGACTGATTTTATTCGCTTAGATTTTATTGCAACTTTGATTTTGGCATATATATTGCTTTATCTTGACCCTTCAGCAGGTAATTGGTTGAAAATATTGTTCATCTAACTTTCCATTATAACAACCTCAATGTGAATACTTCTGTATTCAGATCAGATAATCGCTGTGAGGAAAAAAAAAGGGGCCATTCAACAAAAGGTGGTACTTCACACTTCCAGAAGGGACATGTGTGATTGGAATTAAAGATACAATCTAATGAATATTCCATATATAAACTTTTTTGCTATAAAACTAACTTTTTTAGTGTTAACATATCAAGTGTAAAAACTAATCTTGATTAATTTTCAAGGTTCTATACAATAATGAAACTTAAGCTAATTTTAGAGTTTAGGAAAAAAAAAAAAAAACAATTCTATTAAATTTAAAATATGTTTAGAAGAAATAAAGTTATTAAATGTTACAAACAGTTTTTAAGCCAAACAGATGAAATGCTGAGATATTCAGATATCTGTTTATTACCTTATGCCTTTTAATCACAAGTTGTGATTATCACACCAATTTAGGTAATAAAAATATTTGAGTCAAGCAGTATAAGAAGTGTATAATGCTATTTCTTTTTAAAAATTAAAATGAAATGAATGAATAAGGAAGTTTAAAATTAATTTATATATAAATATCAAATGAAGGAATCTGTATACCTTTAATCCTTTGGCACGGTTAATGGCTCGGAGAGGTCGAAGCACTCTGAGAACACGCAGAATTTTTACAACTGAAAATGTTTCGTTCCTAGAAAGGGAATGCATAATAAATTTAAATAAAATGCTAATTTTATTTAAATAATTATAAATTATGATAACCAATTGGCAATATTTAGATAATGACTGAATGAATTAACTTGTAATTACAAGATAACACAGGGCAAACAATTTTCCACAAAAAGATATACATGCTAGCATTGCCTATTGGCCACTGTTTAAGCAGTGGTCTTGTTTTCAAAATTAGTACTGTCAATAAAATAAAATAAAATAAATAAATGTGTCATTCAATTTCATTCTTTGTTTGTTGACATTATTAATTTAAGTGACACCTTTTTTATGTTTAGAATTTTTTTTTTAAATCAAACCGATGATGAAATTTAACTTTTTCACTATACCAAATTGAAAGCATCAAATCAGTGTATATATTTTTCTAATGAAAACTATTTAACATGTGTTGTCCTATAATAATATAATCCCATAGTTATAGAAACCAGATACAAATGAATGGCATTGAGACTTAATTTTTTAACCTTTTGAGTGGCACAGCTTTCTGAATGTGCTCATGAAGACCTTTATTTTAACATCATTTATTATTAGCTAAATTTGTATAATTATTTAACTTTAGTCTTAAAACATTTAAAATTATATGCTAATATATACCAAGTGACAAAAAATATCTTGATTCAATAAAGCTGATGATGCCAATCAGGAGGTTAAGGTTTTTCTTCCTAACTGAATATTCAGTAATAACCCTTTAAACTCACCAAAAGTTATAAAAAAAATTAAACATACTAGGAGCAACAAAAAAGTCTGCATTATTTATAATATACATAAACTCACCCAAAGGCAAATGAAATCAATGAAACAGACACAACAAGCACATCAAGCAGGTTAAAGTAACTTCTACAGAAAGATCCTTTATGCAAAATCAGACCATAGGCAATAGCCTGTACAAAAAGATACAATTTTAAAACAGAAAAGTAATTAAAATTACATTACATCATGAAAGTGTATTATAAGATATGTTAAAATTCTTTACATATGCTTACCTTTAAAGTTATCTCTACAGTGAAAACAGTCGTAAAAAAGTAGTCAAAGTAGTTTAAAATCTACAAGAGAAAATTTACTGTGTCAAAGAAATCAAACATGTTTCCATTTTTGCTACATAAAGTCTGTAACAAGAATAAGAATGAATGTGAAAAACATGTGAATGCAGCAATACATTTTAATAAATGAAGATGTAGATTTTATCCCTGAGCAAAATTTAGTACTCTCAAACTTGTTTTTGTACAAGATATAGCAACCACATAAAAAAAAACGCATAAAAAAATGCTGAAGCTTCATAGATTGCTATAAAAATATAATGTTTGCAGCAAATTTCAAATATATATATATGCAGTAAATAGGGACTGCATAAAAAAGTCCAACATATAAAATAACTCAAAACCTCATGATCTAGCTCAGTGGTAGTGGTTCCCAAATTTATAATGACCATGGACCTCTTACAATAATAAAAACCTGACCATACACTCATGAATAACCCTACATAAGTGCATAACAGAAAAATTACAGATTTCACTTCTTTGGTGTTTTTAATGGTAAATGATGACATAAAGTAAAATACAAATAAAACATTTTGATACTTAAAGTAGTATTTATTGAAATTATAAGTTTTGTTTTAAAATGCAAAAACACATTTTTTATGAGATGGGTGAACCTGATAGGATGATATGAAAATAATTATATTTGGTTCTATGTTAGTGAGTAACATTTTTAGGTCTTGATGGACACCAACAGTCAGTTTGGTTTTTGTGATGAGGCTTATAACTCCACTAAATCCATTGTTCTTCTAAATAGGAAGCACCAAGAAAGCAATCAGCAGCATTTCTACAGTGACCCATAATGCAGGATATAAAATTAATTAGTGTCTGCTTTTGCAACCAAAATTGACACTAAACTTTGTGGAAAGGTCCAAAGCAAGCCTGGTGAAGTGTTTTATTGCATCTTCCACAATTATGCTTTGGATTTTGCTTTGCCTCCCTCTCTTTGACTAGGGTGCTACATTTCCCTTTTCTGTAGAAAATAGGCAACACCATTTTTCAAATTTCTACTGCATTCGAAGGCACAGAAGAGATCCTGGGTCTACCTTTTAATCTGCCCACAATCTTTTTTAGATAAACTGTTATTACAGCTCTTTGAAACTCCTTCAAGTTTATCAAGTTTAGGGTATCATTTTTGTTGACAGCTTTGTAGATTATTTATACTTTTACCATTGCCATGTCAACTATATGAATGAAGTGTTCATTACCACTTTTTCATGAATCTTAATGGCATATGCTGAATCAGTTGCAATCAACCAGTTATGGGTGATCCATTCCACCCATATGTTTATTGTCAAATTAGGTATCTTCACATTAATTTTATCTTTGTGTCCTTTTATTCACCTCTTCCCACCAAAGAATGGGTCTAAAAAATACTGAAAAAGTGCTGAAATTTGTAGCAACAGTGACAGTACTACTGTCATTCCATCACACCAGAAAAATTCCAGAATTCTTGTCAAACACAAAATTAAATGTATCTCTTCCTTTCTTCTGCATAGACATAGGTTCTGATAAATGATACTCATGATTTATCCGATTTTCTAGTATGGTTCCTGTGGCTTAATAACCTTGTTCACCAAAACTTTTTAAAAGATTGGTAGTGGTAAAAGCTTATCAAATATATAGCTTGAAGGATTCACAATGTTCTCTGTCAGTTTCATTACAACATGGGTACCATGAGGAGTATCCTTTCCTGCACCAGATTTCTTACCACAATAGAGCAGTGATGTCAAAATTTTTTAAACTAAAGTATTAACAGAAGAACTGAAAAGTCACACATGATGTCAGTAATTACATGGTTTTGGTGACATCTCAGCTACATATGCTCATATGACCTCTAATGTCATCACAAAATTCATTCTCCAATGATTCCGAAAGGTACAGACAGTAATTCTATTCTTTTTCTTCTAGTTTCAATAAAAAATTTTAAACTATATTATTAATTATCCATTGTTTAAGGATTCCTTTTTTTCATTTAATTAATTTTCATCTAGTTTAGGTTTTTGTTTTTAAATTAATTTGTTCATATCCATTGTTAAGAACTTCCTCACGTTTCAATTGTTAGCACTTTTGTACTATTTTTTTTTCCAATTAGCAGTTAATTTTTCTGATTCATTATTTTTTGCTTCATTTTAACTGTCAATGCTTTTTGGTGAAATTTCCATTGTGCTTGATTGACTTACTTAACTTCATTGGATTTTGATTACTAATAAATCTCTGTTCTTTCATGTTTAAACTCCTTTCTGGTGTTATTTAAAACTGATTTTGCTTTGATTTTTAAGTCATCTTGATTATTAGTAATATTATAATTAGGAGAATAATTCCAGCTCTTTCTTTAAATATGCAATATAAGGTGATACAAATTGCTTCACTATCCTCACACAGGTGGGGAGGGGACTGACTTAAAAAAGAAAAAATTTGTAAATCAATAAAATCATCAATAATAGTACAGTACAAAGTCTGTAATCCGAACGTCCATTATCCGGAATAATCTATAATCCGGACCTCAAAGCCACAATTTTTTTTTTGCATGCTTTATGCATGCGCGTAGTGTGTTTATGCATGCACGTTTAGTGCTACGCATGCACGTTTAATGTTTATGCATGCGCGTTTAGCACAAAAAACGAAGCAATGTCTTCAAACTTACATTGAAAGAAATGTTTAATACAGTAAACAAATAAATATTAAGCTTTTTTTGCGAATTTTGATACCCTTTAGATCATAATTGCTCTTTATTTCATAAATTACCGTTTCATATTTTTAATTGTATAGTTTCTGCATGTGATCTTACCAGATTTAAATTGATGATCTATAATCCGAAAAAATCTTAATAATCCGGAAACGTCGAAGTCCCGACGAGTCCGAATTGCGGACTTTGTACTGTATTAATGTGCATAACTCTGTTTTATGCTCTTCTGAAATATTTTCCCTTTTATTACTATCATTTTCCTGGAATTCGCCTATCTAAGAATAATCCAGCACAATCTTTGCTTCATGAGTTCAAAGAAAAAATTTTTAATTTATATATATATATATATATGTATATAACTTCTACACATATATAAGATCTTCCCTACCTAAGCTGAATTTTTTAGCAGAGGAAAGAGAAAATTTACAAATGCATATGCTACATAAATAAATAAAAGTTATCCTTTAATATTGATTTTTTACAGAATTTTAATTAGGAAAAAAGCATTAAAAACGATATCTGATTCTGGTTTGCTTAGACAGTATATATCAGTTCCAAAAATATTTTATTTTTAAATTAATCTAAAAGTTAAAATAAAATCTGTTATAGAAAAAATACAATGATTACTCTCTAAGAGTCACTATTTCAGAAAATTTTGATTTTCTGTAACTGTTTTAAAGAGCTAATGTAATTTCACATCCTTACAAATACAGGCCATTTTTGGAAGTGGTTGCCACAAAAGAATCTACTGTAGTTATAATGTACTGTACTTTGAAGACATCTTGTCATTGAAAAATAAAATTCTCACAGTGAATTATTCTATTTTGTTTGATAACGTATAATTAATTCTGATAAAATTTTTTATCATTTCAAAATAAATCAACTAGTATTTGAACTAAAATAAAATATATTACAGACAACATTATCATACTTCCTTAATTTACTAATGCTTCAAAGGGAGAAAAAAATGATATAAAATGCATATTTTTTATTTTACAGTTTTTTAAAAGAAAATTGAATATAATAGCTTTTCATCATCCTGTTCAGTTTCTTGGTCTGTTATCCTCATTTCTTTCTTATTATAGATATGAGCTATGCACGTGCGGGTTGTAAGGACAAATAATACACAGCAGATTTCGTTTTCTTCCAATGACATCTTCATCAAAAGTATGGAATCTAGGAGTTCCAATCACATTCTACTTTGATGTTTGTTTTGGTTAAAGTGACACTTGGGAATATCTTTTCTATAGTTGTACTACTTATTGGCAAACTTTAAAGATTAAATAAAGCAGTGAATCAAACAAGTGAAAATACCAGTGAATGGCACTGAAAACAATTTGCTCCTGCTCTATGATTTTAGGATTGTCAGATGCCAATTTCTATTTAAGCCCAAATAAATGTTTATTTATTTATTTATTGTAAATTAATTTTTGCACATATCAGGTAGGGAAAATGACTGACTCCAACTCCTGTCATTTTAAAGGCTCCGACTCGATTCCCTCATATCTAAACATATAAACATAGGTTGCAGCTTATTTTTTTAATATAAAAGAAGTAATACATGCTCCCAAAAAATTGATGGCATAGCAAATTATTTATATTAATTAGCATTTATTATGAAATAGAAAAACCAGCACTAATTATTTCTAATTAGTGCTTCGGCAAGTATCTTTTTTGTTGGAGGGCCATAGATCCGATTTGATAAACTTCAGACCTGAGAACAGTCTTTCCACACTAACTTGAGCAGGAGGAAGAGCTGTCAAGGCTACTTCTTTTAACTTTTCAGGATAGATTTTCTAAAAGAGATGTCTTGCAAGTGCAATCATATTTTTCCATTTCTTCAAAAGGCCGTGTAGAAATCTTGTTTGTATTTTTTCATTTTTATGCCTAAAGGCTCTTGGTTCTTTATTTTCATTCGCTAGTTTTTTCAATATTACCCAAAAATATTTTCAAAATCTAATTCATCACTGGAAGAGGATGATAGAGACTCATTAAAATGTCCACAGTTTGACTGTCCCGATTCAAATTCTCCAATTGTTCTGAGAATAATTTCATTCTTAATGAAAGTTCATAGATGGCTTTCTTCACCTTTTTAATTTGTTCATCATTCAAGAAAATTCAGTGTTTTAGATCTATATAGATTGAACACAGCAAGATCTCATTGTCTTGCAAACTAGTTTCTCTTTTCTTCATTTAAGGAATGATTCCTTCTGCAATAAACCCTCCATTTCAGAAAAAACAAACACCCCATTCTTCCATTCTCACCTCCTGTCAATTCTTCAGATTGCAGCTTTTTTTTTGTGGCTATATAGGGTGTAGAAAGAAGAGTTTCCAATTCTGCAAGATCATTCCACAGACTTTCTGTTAGTGAAACATTAGGGTTACCTACATCTTCTAAAAACGTTCTTAATTCTAACAATCTCTTTATCATCAAATATGTACTTCCTTGTCATGTTGCTTGATCAATAATTGCTCCTTTTCTTGCTCGCTTAATAAGAATGCCATCAATTTTGGGAGTTCTTGCTGCTATTGCTGCTTACCTAATTTTACTAGTGAAATTTGTAACAAAATGAATCAGTTTTATCACTAATGGCAAATATCACATCTATCCTCCTCCTTTATATTTATTTATTAATATGTCAATAAAATAGAAAATAACTATTCATTAATGTATTTAGTTCATAAATAAAAATAATAACTCAGCTTGTCATTAATTTTTTTTTAATTAAATTTTACTTATATTTACATTTCAAATTCAAACTGTCCAACAAAAACTGGAGTCGGAGTCGACCTGTTTTTAGCGACTCCAGCTCCGACTCCTTTTACCTTAAAATCTGCCCGACTCCGACTCCACAGCCCTGGCAGATATATTAGTTTAGCATATAAATGGTTTACAACATATTAAAAAATTTAAAGTCACAAAAAGTAACACAAATAAATGATAGAGTAACAAAAATTTTGCGAAATGGCATATACATAAACTTTAGTCTCACAGATTTGTCAAAAGTAGCAAATTTTAAAAATCATACAATCTGGCAACACTGCAGTAGAGGAAAAAGTTGTAACAATATCATTCACTTTCATACAGAGCCCAAAGTTTATATCCAAAATGTACTGGCCTGCCTTGGATAGACTATTCCTATCATAGCTTCCTTCACATGATCATTTCATTAATGCTTGGATTTGCCGAGAAGAGATTTGCTGAGCTTCATTAAATTATTACTGAGCAAAGCAAAGTTTCCACATTAAAAGATCAATCCTCAGCATACTGAATCACTGTTCCATCGTCCACAAAGTATAACTGAGAATTTAACTTTTGGAAACAGTTTCATGATATGGAATTTTTCACTAGGATAATGTCAAGGTCTTCAGTATCTGATGGGTAGTCATGTTCACAGGTATTTGTACGATAACCAAGTAGGAAAAAATTCCCAGAAAATTACATATTTTGTTAGCTATGGTAAAAAAACTGTGTTCATTTTTTATATATGTTGCATACTGAACAATTTGTTTTACTGTGTGATAGTAAACATCATTAGAATAAAACTGTTCGAAAAGCTCTGCTGAAGTTCTTTTCTTTCAATATAGTTTCGATTTGTTTGAACAAGTCATTTGCATTTGAATCAGCCCATGTTTTCCATTTTGTATACTGTGGTGATTTCATCTTAACCCAAGATAACTGATTGACTGATTTCCTTAGCTCTTCATCTGTGCTTCGCAGTCAAAACACCAGAGCTTGTGAAAGCTTCAGGTTTATAATACACAATATTTTTTACAATAATCTCAGTTGTATTTACTGCAGTGTTATCTGCTTCATCTTTGTCAGTTAGTTCACTGGCATCTAGTAGTAACACAGCAATTTCAACATTGTAGTCGTCTGAATCTGAACTATTTAATGCTTCCAATGTTTCCTCTAACTTCAGAAAACTTTGCAAGGACATGACTACACAGGGGAGAAATGTTAGGCAAAAATTATTACTTTTTTTATTCTTAGTCAGAAAGGGAGAAATAACCGAACAATTGCATACTTTTCATTTCACTGTCCTACTTAGAGGGCAGCTAAGAAATAATGTGCTACAACTTACCTAATAATAAAAATGTTGGAATTGACTATCAGGATGATAAAAAAAAGAGTACTTGCACATAAAAAATGCCCAGTCAAGTGTTTAAAATAAATTAAAAAGGAATCATGCAAACCACGAAGAGAACATACAAACCATGTTCCCTTACAAGGAGAATAAACAAAGTTGCCTGTTGTTTGAAGAGGAGAACACACATAAATCATGCTACCAGAAGCTTATACATATTCCTACATAGTCCAGCAAAAAAATATTCGTAGCCAAAAAATACTGATTTCCACATGCCTTTTTTGTTGTTGTTGTTCTTTAACTAGGATAGTGGGATAAAATGGATTAATCTGCTGAAGATGAATATGTATTTTATATACAGAAGGCAACAATAGATTGTTGGCAGTATATTTGCATAAACCAGATGCTATCAAAGTACCATATGAATGTTTCACTTAACGATATTGCAATAAAAAGATACTGAAACTAGTAACAATAAACGGTTGACTGCGCATTGTGGGCAGTCAGGTAATTGAATACATTCTGAGAATGATAGCACTAATAGGAAAATCTATGAACGATTAAAGTTGGCTTTTTCTTTTATATTCATATTTGTGGATAAAGCATCAAAGAAATTATGATTATTTTTCAATAGAAAAATAATATTTAGAAACCAAATGGAGTCAAAGAAATTCCAGATTACCTTATTTCTGTCCGAATTAACATTTAAAGGATCCTCGGCAGCAAGCATTGCACTACTGATTAAAATGAAGCCTAAAATTATGTTTGCAAAATAATTATGATTGACAATGAAGTGACATAGCCTGCGAAACCTGAAAGTAAAAAAAGCGTAAATTAAAAAAGTAATATTAATTTAAGCGACATTTTTACTTTAAATAGCAATTAAATATTATCTAAAGTAGTTTTTTACTTTAAAAAATGGCAGCTTTTAAAGACAGTAAAGGGCACATTCATAAAATAATAATCAATAAATAGAACAAATAATGTATTAGATAAAGATGAAAAAAATGTGTTATGAATAATGAAATATAAATCAGTTAGTTATAATATTAACAATTATTAGGTACAATATGCATTCCATATATTAAAATTCATAATTAATATTCAAAAATATGCAGAGAGACTCTTTTTACAAAAGTTTCATTTTTAAATTGACATATTATTCTATTATAAATAATACTCAATTTTTGTTCTTGAATTTAATGACTTGAATACAAGACCAAAAAGATAGCATAGTAAGCATAATTATTATTATTAGTGAAGAATTACTCAGCAAGTTATAAGAGTTAAATAATAATTTAATATAAAAATGCATTCAAAAGTTTATCCCATATGAAAAGCTTATTTATGTTTCGGAAGTTCTGAATAATTATCACGATGAACTTATTTGTATCACAGTCAGAAAATTATTAAATTATCATGGTAAACCATGATTTTATCAAGATAAGATGAAAATTAATATTTTGAAATTTAAATTGCAAATTACACTAAATGAAAGAAAACATGGGATCATTATGAAATTATCAATTATGTCAAAAATAAATTCAATAATTTTTAACTGTTAAAAATATTACAGTATGCAGATACGAGGAAAACAGGAAAAGCCTTGACATATGGATCAAAGGCCAGACATAAAATTCTTCTATATTTTTCAAAAATACCATTACTTAAAAAAAGTGGCCTAAAAATGTAATTTTTATAAATACCTGTATGCCTAATATAAGTTTTTAAAAAAAGTCTAGTTTTTTTAATACAATCTTTAATTTCTCTTTGCTGTCATAAAATTGCTTAGTTACAATTTTTTTTTTTTCAGGGAGATTGTAAATGCTCCTTTTAGGTGTAACATATCTAACATTCACTACTTTTCTTCTTCCCCCCCTTCCTCTTGTGTAAATGGTAGTCATCATGCTAGACGGCAGATGTGCAGATTTTCCTCTTCCCCTCCCCCCCCAAAAAAAACACCCACAATTTATTAGATAGCAATTACAAGCACTTTGACAGTAACTTATTTTCTTATGATTAGTCTGATTAACAATAGTGAACCAGCAGCAGGGATATTTTGCTTAGTTAGAAAATGTTTGGCCCTTTAACACCCCCATTTTGTTTTTCCAAAATGCACTATGATTTACATACTGTAAAGGCCCTTATTTTCGTGAATCGTAATTTTCACGAAAATGAATGTATCGGTGATTTCGCATGTTGAAAATTTCGCGAATTTTATATGAACAGAATCGAAAGTTGAAAAATTTCAAAAGTGCCTAAGTAAAGTTGAGAAAGTTGAAAAATTTGATTGAATTGTTCGACATTTTTAAGGCACACCAAGATCCTTTTTTTCTGACTGAACTAGAGAAGAGGAATATTATTCCAGTTTTTGTGCCCGCTTCCTGCACAGGAGAGCTCCAACCTTTGGACTTAACTCTAAATGGCGAGTTCAAGCGTTTGCTCAAGAATGAATTTATTGAGTGGTATTCTAATGAGCTTCAATTTCTAGAGGAAAAAGAATCTGTGGACTTGCGAATATCACAACTAAAACCGATTCATGCTTCTTGGCTTGTGCGCGTATTTAACGGTATTGAAGCCATGAGATAATTTTGAATGGCTTCAAAGAAGCTGGTATAAATAGCATTCTAAGTGAATGAGCTGTCTTCTATTAATTTTATTGTTTTTATATTCGAGAAATATAGAAATATATTATTCAAAAAAATAGTTATAAGAAAGAAAGTTGTCAAGAAAAAGCTGCCAGAGAGTGGTATGAGGAACATTCCAGTGACTTTCAAGTCATGTCTTGGCCTCCAAATTCACTTGAAATTAATCCAATAGAGCACTTGTGGTCCCACCTGGAAAACCGAATTCATGCTGCCATGCTACCCCCCCCCCCCCCCCACAATGTGCGGGACCAGTTGATGAGTGCTTGGTACCAGATACCTCAGACTACCTATCAGCATCTTCTGGAGTCAATGCCATGCTGGGTGCTGGCAGTTTTGAGGGTAAAGGTGGTCCTACATGTTATTAACAGGGTGGTCGTAATGCAATGGCCCTTTGGTGTAAATATATATAATACAGAATATGAAGCATATTTACTCAACAAATTTTTCTCACTTTTTAGTCATATTCTTTTTTCACACATGACAAATTACCAATATAATTTACAAGTGTTTGCCACAGTGTATTAAGAGTTTGGAGCAGAAATGAAACTATCACCTGTTGTTGTGCGAAAAAATAAAAAATGATGTATAAGCAGGAATTGGCTTAATTTTTGTATCCATGTGCAAATTTGAAAGACGCCTAGGGCGAGCAGTGGATACAGATGCATCATCATCATCTTCATCATCATCTTCATCGGCTTCCTCTTCTTCCTCATTGAGTGGAACTAAAATATTACACATCCTCATATTATTTAATAAATAAATTAAAAAAATCAAAATGAGTTCTTGCACAGAAGAAAATTTATGACATGCACACAAAATTATGAATAACATTTCAGTACTTAAAATATTCATATGCTATGAGTAAAGATATGCATTAAATATATACATTTAAAAAAAAAAAAGTATTTATGTGACTAGTGAAAACAGACTCTGCTCCAGACACAGGTGATATGGCTGCTGCTTAGAGCACCAGCCAAGTTACTATCTTGGGCAACAATGTCTTAGCAAAACCAGAGAGGTATACTATGCATATCTTAAAATAAAATTCAATGAAATGTAAGATAAAGAAATATTTACCATATTTTCCAGTGTATAACGTGCACTGGTGTGTAACACACATCTATAATTTTGAACTATATTTTTAAATTGTTAAGTATATTAACCGTATAATGCGCACCCAATTCTTTAGGAAGAAACCTAAAAAATAAACCTTTGGTAACTCCAGAATTGAAAACTCTTTTCGACATAATCGAAAGTTCAAGTTTAATTTTTATAAAATTGCCGTAATAATAACAGTCTGCAAAAAATAATAAGCTGGATCAAATTAGAAGCACGGAGGAGCGCAGTCTGCTACATTAATTGAAATGCCCTAGAATCAGTGAAGATAATTTTAGCCTAACTTAATAGTGTCCGTTATACATTATTGGATGTGTATCAAAAGCTTGGCAATGAAAGGCAAATTGGTTCACTAAATTTTGTCTTGCTACTATTGCGTGCTAAATTAAGCCTGAATTGTATTAGTTAAGTTATTTACTATAACTTTGTTTATTTCTTGCACATGCTTCAAACTAATGAGTCCTGAATAAACTCCCACATATACTTTAGGCTTTATGGCTTTATCTAGGGCCGGTGCTCGATACTGCCTGATGCAGTCTCTAAGGGTCCTAAATTCTCCTACAAAGCACTTTCCTAAAAAAGTTGTAAATTTTCACCGTAACTAAACTTTGGAAATGTAATCTTTTGGCTTATGAGTTTCATTAACAAAATCTATTTTTAGTGTATGAAAAGAAATTTTTGTTGAATTTTTTTCCTCATCAATATTTCTTGAGCATTTAGAAATCTATCATCATCGCCAAGAGTAATGTTAGCATAAAAGGTTGCCATACTCTTATTATTCAATTACTAATATAAAAAAAGTTTAGACATCACAGCATGAGTTATTACTGAAGCTGTCATGTATTTATCATGATGAAAGCAAAATATAATAAATAATGACTCGTCAGGTCGGCGTCAGGGATATAAAATAGATGAATGTTTTGGTTTAAGATGTATGCCAAGTAGATACTCCGCTATGGAGCCAAATCATTAATCGCACAAATTTATACTTATATGATTGTTTTTCCATAAAAAAGTATTTTATTTGAAATTAAGAATCGTAATTTTTAAGTGAAAATCTCCATATGTTTTATTATTGAAGGAAAAATCAAATTCGCATGCGTAAAGCATTAATAATAATAATTAAAAAAAAATGTTTGTGTCTTTGAGGTCCAGATTTTGGATCATTCCAGATAACAGATGTCCGGATAATGTCCGGATTTCGGACTTTGTACTGTATTACCAATGCAAACTGACTTTTCTTACATGAGCCATTTACCAGATTTGAGCGGTTTTAAAAAATAGCAGTAAAGAAAATTTGTATGAAATGCATTAAGGTATATGAAAAAACTTTATAACTGTTCTTGAAGTACCCTCATAGAATGAAAACAGCTATAAAGATGCAACTTGCGTTATAACCAGGGCTGTGGAGTCGGAATCGAAGTTAGGCAGATTTTTGTTTAAAAGGAGTCGGAGCTGGAGTTGCTAGAAACAGGTCGACTACGAATCCAACTTTTGTTGGACAGTTTGAATTCAAAATGAAATTAAAGGAAATTGAAAAATATTTAATGACAAACTGAGTTATTATTTTATTTATGAACTATATACATTAATAGATAGTTATTTTCTATTTTATTGACATATTAATAAATACCGTATTTGACGGCATATAAGACGCACCCTTATTTAGAAAGCCACACACAAGGAAAAAAAGCTTCAACAGTCCGCGCGACAGCGCGGTACCACAATAACTTAAAATGTGGTTTCTTTCAATTTTCACGTTTCATAAAATCCAAATAAACAATCATTGAATGCAATTACCAAACATACTTTTATTAATGAAAATTAATAAACGGCGAGCTATTTTGAACATGATATGTCAATTTCAATAATGAATAAATGAATAAATGGCTAGCAATCAAGCATAATACAAAATAAAGCAGAAACAACCAAAAACAAAGATTCAAGGAAAACGTCGCCTATCATGAAATTAGACTTTAATCACTTTCAAAACCATAAAAATCCTTTTCACTATCATCATCATCAAAAACGAGAATATCGTCATCATTACTATTTCTGTCATCGCTAGTATCACCTTCTTCGAATAATGCGTCGTCTTCTGTTCTGTCAAAAGCATTACTGATTCCGCACTTCTTAAAGGACTTAACAATTACTTCAGCCTTTACATCCTCCCAAGATCTTTTTACCCACTCGCACACTTGTGAAATAGAGGGCCGCTTCATTCTACCTGAGGGTGTGAGGGCGTGATGTGGCTCTCATATCCACTTGTTCCATCGTTCTCGCACTTTTTCCTTAAATGGCTTATTCACCGATACATCTAAAGGCTGCAATTGGCTAGTCAATCCACCAGGAATGACAGCTATCTGGTTTTTAATTCTCTCGCTTTATTCTTTATGGTTTCAGTTCTATGGGCGCTGAACTTATCCAAAACCAAAAAGAGGGTTTTCTTAAGAGTCCACCAGGGCGCATCCTGTAACCACAGTTTCATTCCAGCTTCGTCCATCCAGCCTTTCGGATGAACATGAACAATTACACCTGTCGGAAGTTTTTCTTTAATAATGAGGTTTTTTTTAATATGAAAAATGGCAGTAGTTTTGTGCCATCAGCACAACATGTTAGAACTACCGTATATCGGGTTTTTTTCATGACCTGTGGTTTTTATGGTTATTGATTTAGATCCTTTAATACTCACAGTCTTCTTGGATGGTACATCAAATGTGAGTGGAATTTCATCCATATTTCTTATTTGACCGAGCTCAAAAGAAGTTTTCTTGCGTGCATTTATAACAAAACATATGAAATGCTAGTATTTTTTCTTCGTAATCTGCTGCCATTTTCTGTGCAATAGTTGTTTTTGTGCACATTAATAAGCCTTACTTTTTCATGAACCTGTAGCACCAGCCCTCAGACCCTGAAAAGTTCTTGATTCCCCCGTTTTTCTGCGCATCCTTTGGCCACATTGATTGTTATTTTAGGTTGAAATACTTATCCCAGATTTCCTCTTATCTATCACCCACATTTTTATGGCATTTTCAAGTTCCAGGCCAAGATGGAGCTGGGTATGGAAGGTTATGTTTTTGTTTTTTTAGCAGTCTTCAGTTGATCTTCCTGCATTCGCCAAGTACATATCATTTTTTCGGTAGGTGGTGGACTGAAATGCCTTGCTGCTGCTCTGTTTCCATGCACTTTGGCATAGTTTAACACTCCTAGTTTATACTGAATTGCATAGCCTAATCTCTTGTTTCCTGTAGTCATATTTTCCAGGGTATTTTTTTAAACAAATTGTTTTAAGCACCAATACCGACATGTTTATACAAAGTAGCACCGATACCGATACGTGTGTCAGCTGAGTTAAAGAAAGTCTATGTAAAGAAGGAAAGGCTTCATAGATGTAATGTAACCGTCGAACCTCTTCAAACTTCGACATCAGCTTCGAGCTTTGGCGCTTTTTGCCGACAGATATTTCACGCATGCACAAAATAAATATGGCAGATGTAGAAAAGTTATGTGTGTCTAGACCTTCATCCGGGCTAAAAATAGCATTCAGTATTGAAAGTTAACCTGTGTCCTTCATGTATAAGATGCAGGTAACTTTTTTGAGACCAAATTTAGGAAAAAAAGTGTGTCTTATATACCATCAAATACGGTAAATATAACGGAGGAGGATGTATGTGATATTTGCCATTATAGATTAAACTGATTCATTTTGTTACAAATTTCACTGGTGAATTTAGGTAAGCAGCAATAGCAGCAAAGAACTCCCAAAATTGATGCCATTCTTATTAAGCGGTTAGGAAAAGGAGCAATTATTGATCAAGCAATGCGATGGAGAAATATATATTTGATGATATAAAGGTTGCTAGAACTAAAAACTTTTTTAGAAGGTGTAGATACCCCTAATGTTTCACTAAAGAAAAACTGTAGTATGAGCTTGCAGAACTGGAAACTCTTCTTTCTACATAGTACAGGTAGTCCTACTACAACACGGCATCTTGTAACACGGTTTTGCTGGAACCCAATAAGAAAATTGCCCAAGAAATCGAAGAAATTTAGCGAACTCTGCACGAAGTTTTTCCATATTGTGCAAAGCACCCATATTTAACACATAAGAATCCTTGTTTCGTAAGTTCTGCCAGTTGTCTTCCAAGATCTGCTACCTGTACGAACAAATGTCCTCAGGTGACCCGTATAAACAAATTCTCCTAGATACAATGAAGAAACTTCACTATCGCAGAAGGTGAACAACATGAGGTCACAATAAGTGCTCTAAAATGCACAACCTGCATGTTCGGCTTCCAAAATTTGAATCCTCGTCTCCATGGCCTGAAAACAAAAGTGTCTCACGCTGCTGGTCGGCTATCTGCGTCAAGCCATGGTGTGTTAAAGAATAACTTTTTCGTCTTTAAGACATTAAGTTTTAGTCCCCAAACATGTCCGATAAAGATAAAAAAAAACAATGTTTAAGAGGAAATCCATTTCTTTAGAAGTACAGATACAAACCTTGGACTGTCTTTCAAAAGGAGAAAAGGCATCTCACATTGGAAAAAATTTTATTTGGAATGAAGAAACAGTCCGGACAATTAAGAAAATTGAAAAAGAAATAAGA